AGATAAAGTTTGTTTCTATTTAAAATATAATATCCATATAATTATGAATACATGGCTTTATTCGAGCTAAATAATATTTTGATATAACTTCAAATATATCACATAAAATCAAGTTTATTTAAAACAAAATTCTCATAAAGTTCTCATAAAAACTATCAATAAATTAGAAACGTTTCAGCTTACAAAGTCTTCCTCAGTGTAAAATGTAACCAATTTATACTAAATTAACAAAACTTATATAAATAATTTCACCGTTATTTTGCAACTATAGGGAAGTTTTCTTCGTGGTGATTGAATTTATCATTGCCTGTGTCGAGTTGGCTAAGACGCTCGCCACGGAAAGTCGAGAAGTCCCAGGTTCGAATCTCGGCTGAGGTAATATTTTTCGCAAAAAAGTTCTTTACTAAATTAATTTTAGAGGGATTATTTCATATATAGGAATGTCCGAATGTTTCGGCGCCTCATCGTATTTATATTATTAACATCTCAGATTGATCGTGGTTAGTGTTCGAACGTTTCGCGCACAATCACATCTGAGATAATTAAATTTAAAAATTGAGAATGTATTGTATTTATAACATCTAAATTTGACCGATTATTGGCGTTTCTTGATATTTTTATTCTTATCACTTCAATTTTTAAATTGTATTTCAATAATGAGCAGGTTATAATTAACTTAAATTTTTATTCGCAACAATTAAGATTTTGTATTTTTTCTTTTTTAGCTGAAGATTATTAAATTTATCTGTAGAAGGTAGTTATCATTGTTGGAAATAAATAATGGAATACATTGAAAAACAAAAGCATAGAAAGCTTTTAAGAAAAGCTAATAAATGACTAAAACGATCATTAGCAATAATTAGTAATGCTTCTCATTTGACGGCTGATACACTATTTACGGATAATGATAATTTAACTACACGCATCGCTTCGATTGAGCAAAATAATTTTTCGTCGATTAATACTAACTCCTTTATTATGTAATTCATTATCTTCAAATGATACTTCAAATTTTTACTTTGCGGAAAAAAATGAAAGCGAACTTGTAACAGAGTCTTCAACATTTGAGAAACATACGAATATTAATTCTCGGTCATGCACAAACAATATTTCTTCATGTGATCATGAAACGTTCAAAGAAACTTTTACATCTGCCTTAGCGCAGTGGGCAATTAGTGAAAATATCAATTTAACGTCTATGCGAAAATTGTTTGAAGTTTTGCATATGCTGCCTTCATTAAAGAATATTTTACCAAAAGATCCTAGAACATTTTTAAAAACACCTCGTACATTACATGTCAAAAAGATAAGCTCGGGCTTATACTATTACTTTGGAATTGAAAGTTCATTGAATACACTTGTAACTAAACAGAGGATAAAAATTCATGCCAATCAAGATATAGATCTGACTGTAAATATTGATGGGCTTCCTATATCAAAAAGTACGAATAGTGCTTTTTGGCCAATATTATGTTCATTAAAATCTCTGTCAACTTTGAAAAGAAAAGTGTTTTTAGTAGCTCTCTTTCATGGCCATGGAAAACCAAATCCACATGAGTTTTTATCCGATTTTATTGATGAATGTACTCAATTATCATGCAATGGAATTACAATTGACTCGATTCGTTATAATTTCAAAGTTTCAATGTTAATCTGTGACACGCCAGCAAAATCGCTTGTTTTAGTATTAAAGGGCATTCCGGATATTATTCGTGTCCAAAATGCACAATAGCAGAAGATATGTACCATAATGTAATGTGTTTTATTGAAACTGATTGCACTAAGAGGACCGATATTTCATTTCGAAATGAAGAACAGTCTGAGCATCATGTTGATTCAAGCAGTTTTTTGAACTTACCGAATTTTGATATGATTAACAATATTCCCGTAGACTATATGCATGCGTTTTTACTAGGCACATGTAAAAGGCTTTTGTGTCATAATCGGTACGGTTTGATTTTTGGAAAACCTCCACATAAATTATGTGCTCGAGATGTACAAAATCTATCGCAACGGTTGTTAAGATTAAATAAATATATTCCATGCGAATTTTCTCGTAAAACAAGATCGATAGAAGAGTGTAAAAGGTTTAAAGCCACAGAATTTCGATTTTTTTTATTGTATAGTGGTCCGTTAGTGTTAACGAAAATATTACCAGTATCTAAATATCATAATTTTTTAACGTTAAGTGTAGCAAGTTTAATTCTTATAAGTCCGCGTCATGCTACTTTTGAAACAACCGTTTCTTACGCAGAGAGACTCCTAAAATGTTTTATACGGAATTCAATTAATTTGTACGGACCAGATTTCATCTCTCATAGCGTACACTGTTTGATACATTTAGGCGATTGTGTTCGACTGTTTGAACCGCTGGATAATACGAGTGCGTTTGAATTTGAAAATTATCTTCAGATGTTGAAACATTTGATTCGAAAACATAATCAACCATTACAACAAGTTATTCGACGCACGTATGAAGAACAGCATCTATTCGAGTCAAAAAGTACAGTTCAATGCAGTACAAATTCAATGCAATTTCTAATGCCACATTATCAAGGATCGTTGATCAATGGATGTACATCTCCGCAATATAAAAAAATTAAGACTACAGATTATTGCATTAATATTACAAAAAAAGCAGACAGATTCGTGGAGACAAATGATGGTACTCTTGTAGAAGTGCACAATATTGCTTGTTATAAAAATTCAACAGTGATATTGGGTTACACATTTCGGAAACTTGAAGAATTTTTTAAAAAACCATGCTCATCAATGCATTTTGATATAAACATAATAATTAAAGAAGATTCGGAACTTAAAATTTGGGACACGAGCATGATCAATAGAAAAGTAGTTGTGTTACCATATAAAAATCAATTCGTATGTTTCTCATTGTTGCACAACTAATTTATAAGTTCGAATTGTGAATAAATAAAATGTAAACAACAAAGAGCTTACAGCCACAACGCCAGATGTAATTCGCACAATAATTTATTTAATACAAAAAAAGTATACGTTTCGTTCCAAATTGGAACATCTTCAGTACATCGAAAATAACAAATTATTACATAAAAATGTTTTCTTTGTTAACTGACAAGCAAGATAAAAGTCATTCTAAGTTAATATTAAATTCGTTGACAATCTCTCTTAATAAAATTTAAAAGATACAATAACTTATTAAAATTATAAATATTTATAACATCCTTACTCGAAATTCTTGGCTACTTTATAATTTTTATGTTGGAAATCTGAATGTGTGAATTCGTATTATTGTATCTTTTAAATTTTATTAAGAGAGATTGTCAACGAATTTAATATTAACTTAGAATGACTTTTATCTTGCTTGTCAGTTAAAAAAGAAAAAATTTTTATCTATGTAATAATTTGTTATTCTCGATGTACTGAAGATGTTCCAATCTGGAACGAAACGTATACTTTTTTTGTATTAAATAAATTATTGTGCGAATTACATTTGGCGTTGTGGCTGTAAGCTCTTTGTTGTTTACATTTTATTATTTTGAAGCCACTTAACTATCTTTATTTTATGTGAATAAATATATTTGTTACATTTTGTTTAAGTATAATATACAAAATTAAATAAATAACACAAAACTCGAATACACAGTGTGAAAGTATCCATACAATGCCGTGGATAGTTATAAAATTCAATAAAGAAAATAAAGTCGAAGCTGTACCTGCGACGTGGTATAATAAAGAAAATAATCAATGTTATTAGCCGCCTAAGAAACTGAGTTATAAAGCTGCGGAATTTATTAAAAATCAACGTGAACCTGATGAGTCGTGGAAATTATTTGACACAACGTTTCTAGGCTCTTACGGTATGTATTGAAGCGATTAAAGTAAATTACAAATTTTTTCTCATCTACCTTTTAAATGTTAACATTTATCTATTTTACCTTCTGAAAGTGACTACCAGGGGAAAATCTTGAAATATCAACAGAGTTGCCACAGACTTGGAAAATCGGGTAAAGTCAGGGAAAATATAAAAGTGTCTAGAATTTGAAGTTTGCTCAAAATTTTCTTAAACTGCTCTTATTCCAAATAATTGTTATTTTCTAAATATTATATCTCTTACATTTATAGTTAAATACGTTCAAAACTCGTGCACTCTTTAAATGATTTTAATAAAATAGTTAAAATTTATATTTTATTCAGTAATTTCGTTATAACTTTTTCGTTATAACTGCATTCTTTATTCCAATACTAATTTTTTTTGTTAGCTTGAACTTTCATCCAAAATTTTATTATCCTAACTAAGCTTCTTTTGCGTTTTTAATAATATAAGCTAACTTTCCTACAATTTTATAAATATTAAAGTACAATTTATTTTATACTGGGCATGGAAATTTTCCATTTTTATCTGGAAAAGCTGGAAGAGAATTTTGAAATTCATTTTCTGTGGCAACCTTGAGAATATTAGCTTTAACTTTTTAAACTTAAATATAAATTCTCAACTAATTGTGAGGCGCGGTCTTATCTTGTAGACATAAGATTGTCATAACAGTATTTTTGAAAAATTGTTCAAAATTTTTTAGTTTAGTCATTTTTAAATGTTTATGTGTGTATTTGTTAATATTATTTTATTTACAAATTTAGAGGATTTTAATCATGCGCAACATAAAGCTAAAAAAGCAGAAACAACTGACTTGTTAACCTCCAATGATGAATCACTGGTTGAAAGAAAGAATAAAAGCAACTCCCAAATGTCGAAGAAAACTGGAAAGTCACAAACCACCTTTAATAGCAGTGACATATCAGTAGATACTGAAACATCTACCGATGATTCAAATGAATATTCAATTCAATGTAACAAATTTGTTGGTAATACTATAATGTATCTGTTTATTCATACACTATTAATAAGTCTAGTAATTAATTAAATTATTGTTTATACTATTATTTAAGCTACCACAAAGAAGAAACACATGGAAAAAAAAACTGTACACAAAAATTCTATTTATTCTGAAATTAATAAGGATGTAACAGAATACGAAAAACAGAAGACAATGAAAGCACAATTCCTCGAATTCAAAGGTTTTCGAATCCGAAATTTTTTTGTACAATATAATTATTTTTACTTGTTTGCGATGCTTGAATGGTTTGTTTCATTTGATTACAGAAAATCAAAATCAATGTCTGATAAACATAAACCTCTTGCATATAAAATTTGATGCAATTTCTGAGTCATTGTCTTCATTGATGAAAAATGTTTCAAACACGAATGTAAAACCCACAAGCTTTTCATGTGAGCCAATACCAATATTAAAGTTACTTCCTATGGATTCGGAAGGGTTAATTCAAGGCGAAGAGTGGTTACAAACCGAACAAAATAGACAGAACTTGGTACTTTAGTAATTTTACGGAAATGTTACGACGTGTTTACTCTAAACTTTCTTTTTTTGCAGGTGGTAGAATTGAGCAAAATTGGCGGGCCAACCCCAAAGGAGGTTATGAAGCGGGTCATGTATCGATTGTTTGAAAATTCCTTAGGCATGGAGTACTCCTGGGAAGGCAAAAAAAAAGAAAAAAAGTTTTTAAATCACTTTCTATTTCTTCAGTAATCATAGGTTAGTGTTTACATTTAATACCAAAATTTTAAAAAAACACGCAATAAATTATCAAGAACAAACGACTCTTAATCCAAAAAAAAACAATGTAAAGAGAGAGAGAGAGAGAGAGAGGGGGGGGGGGGTAAAAGGGGCATGTAAGAGTCAGTTATAAAAGTCATAACATAAGAGATTTCAAGATGAATAATCCGTAATTGAACTTACATAATATAATACATAATATTACATGTATTAATTTCTAGATTGAGCCGTCTTCAGATATTCGAATACAATAATGAACACAATAATATGAAAAAAGATGAACAAGCATGATGGACATTGTAACAGAAATACACCCATGTACGATTTTAAAACTGGGTCAACATCGGGCCAATGTCGGCTGCCAACTTCCGACTGTCGGCCCGGTACTGACTGTAACGTCACGCCGACGTCGGCATAATATCCAAATGATAAGATCGGCCCAACATTAACGCCAGTGTCGGGCCGACATTGGTCACCGACGTCGGACCAACATTAAATTTCAGTGTTGGGTAGACATTGGTCACCGACATCGCCCCAACGTTAGATGCCGATGTCGAGCCGATGTCGATAAAATATCCAAATGATAAGATCGGCCCAACGTTAAAAGCCAGCGTCGAGCCGATACTGATCACCGACGTCGGTCCAACGCCGGATACCAATGTCGAGCCGACACTAGTTCAATATTTATATAAAAAAAATCATTTTTTAAATATAGATATTTAATACACAAGATGTCTGAAAATGTATGATTAAGATTCTTTTGTCTTACCTGAAATTTGATATTTAAATTAATTTCGAAAAACACACTTACCTT